ACCTTTTTGCAATTAATTCAACCAATTTTTTTGCAGATAAGATCATAAGAACTTGCATTGATCTGTGTTCACGTTCATATCGATGCTCTGTGGCAGGGGCGAAGCTGATGAAGGGCTGGGGGCACGTGCCCTCTCTCATTTTTTTGGGTCAAAAAATTAAAAATATACAAGTTTTAAGTAATTGGAAAAAAACCTACCCCAAATAATCTCTTCTTCTATCAATGGAAGTCTAAGAGTGTATAGAGTGTACCGGATTGTTGGCTGCAAGTTCACCATCGACGAGGTTAAATGCTCTCGGGATGCCATTTGATTGTTTGTGCTCGAAATAGTAAAGAGGGACATAGTATGGTGCTGCGGATGTGCCACTGCCAATACAGACATATGCTAGCAGAACATCCTTCGATTCATCACGTTTAACCTGTGAGGTGGAGAAGATGACTGGTTGGAGAAACTTGACGTCATAAGAGGGGATGATAACGTTGGTTAGAGTTTCGAGACGTGTTTTCCTGATTATCTTGTTGATTCTGTCATTCAGAGTAGAACCATTGTATTTGGGGCATAACACTTCTTTGTCGACCAATGCCACGAATTTTACCGCCTTTTCTACCTCCATTGCTATCCATACCGCTCATTCCTTCAGTTTTTAAAGCCATCCGGATATGCGGAAGAACCTAATTCATCAGTTCAATTTGTAAGGCAAATACATAGAAAGAACTGTTATTAGCATTTTAAAATAGTCTCGTCTTTTGATACATACATTAGAGTGGGTTTTGCTTGGCTTGAGAGGGAATATGTGTCAACTCCCATCAAAATAAAACTTTATGATTTCATGTGCTTCAAAATAAATCTTTGAGTCAATAACACAAAGATTTAGTTGAAGCCCCTAAATGAATTCTCAAAAAGTGGCGGTAGAGTCCTTGTAATGGAATATAAAACTATACATATTGGTATAAAATGTTACATGCAGGCAACAACATCCAAGTTCATAATTTAATGTTGTCCCGTTATTCATATTTTATAAATAAATTAAATCCACATATATTTCACGACATGGACAACATGAGAGGTTAAAATAATAAAATTAAAAATCAAGCAACTTACCTAAGAGGAGATCATGCAGATGCAGATGGTATACAAAATATAAGTTAACGACACAACCCTTAGTTGATCAAAATCAACTATTTTGAATTGAAATTTACAAGAGATCATGGTTGAAATGGGTGGGAGATAGAGAGAATGAGACAACAATACGTGATATAGGTGAAATGGAAAGAGGCTTCAATTCATGATTTTCAACAAAATGAGCATTCTGTCAGTTCAAATTTCAAAAATAATATATTAATTTTTCATTTTAATCGGGTCTATATTTATAAACCAAAATACCACGAGTAATGTTTGGGAGACCAAATTTTTTAAATCAAATTTGCAAACTAAATGATGTGGTTGTAAATGATTGGATTATTAATTAAGTGTCGATTAACATGCTTGTTTCTTATTGGTGACACATCATTTGGTTTAAAAAATTTGGTCTCCCTAACATTACTCAAATACCACATAAGGGAAAATAGAAAGAAGGAAACAAAGTGAACCCAATAAGAAGAACATAAATTGGGGTGCAAATCTGAAAAAAAAAATAAAAAATAAAAAATAAAGAAAAGAGAAAAGTGGAAATTGGCATTATGATTCAAAGAGACGAGAACAAAGGAAAGATGGTGTGTTGGGGACTTTTAGGTTAAGGTGGACTTAGGCTTTGAGAACGTTATCTTGTCTCCCTCAGTTCAGTTTTGCACCAAGTCCTGGAATATCTTGAAAGGATTAGCACATCTTAGGAAATATCTCAGTTGGATTAATGACTCAAAGATAGCATGGTTAAGCAAATTATGACTTGCTCAAGTGAGGCATGATGTGGAAGCTAGAAGTTTATCAGTTTAGCATGAGAGAAAGAGCTGGCATGGTTGCATGGTGTTCTTGTTTGAATAATCTCGGCTTCCTAGGGTGGTAACAAGGTTTCTGATGGCTAGTATGCTTAGAGGAAGGTTATGGAAAACACTAAGGTTGCAAGGGTGATGCTTTTTGGGATTTGTGGCTGTTTGCACTAAGGAGAGATTTTCCTAGCTTGGTGCAATACAATCCTCCTAACTTTCTAAGCTTTTCTCTCTAGGTTGAGTTCTTGGATCTCCCTGAATGGTTCTAACCTCCCTTTTGTAGGATAATGACCCCTTTCTAGGATTCCTAAGGAATCTCTAACATTGGCTTGGTCTTCTTCTTCTTTCTCCTGGTCTCACTCTGGCTTTTCTTCTTTGTATAAGACAGATATATATTGTTGGTCTCGTAAAGCCTGCGTTAGACTTTCTTCCGAGACGTTGCTTTTCTAGGTCAACTTCCACATGTGTTATTTCTGGTAATGCGTCTCTTGACTTTCAAGCATTGGTCTTCAGCGTGAGTTAGGAAATGAAAGTCAACTTCTCTATTCATTAAAATGTTGATTTGCTAGGCTTTCAAGTGAAATTAGGCTAGGATTTGGTCCCTTCCTAACTAGATTGGTTGGCTTGCTAAGGAAAGAAAGAAACCAGGCTGGTCTTCTCTCAAACTTGCCCATGTGGACTACAAAGGTTATTGGCTTGGATCTTTGGGCTCCTAAGCAACCCAAAGTTTTCCATAATCTTGACTTCACGTAGGCCTATTGAACTTCCGTAATGATCCGCACCACAATTCATTTGGCAATCCTTGAGCATGTGACTTGGGCTTATTTTAGCATGAATAGTGATTTAAAGTGATGAGGTTTGGCGTGACGTATATGCATGGATTTCCGTAGGCATAGTGTGATTTCTATCTGGTTTAATAACTGTAGCGTGGCATGATTATAAGTAATCATTTTTCTCAATTTTATTCCTTTGCATGTGTTTAGGTTTGGTTTGGGGTCTTTTATACGATTGGGTCTTGAGACTTGGTTGGGCTTGCATGTGACATTTTGGGGCATCAACAAAGTGCAAAGCTTACCATTACTGTCTTCGACCAACAAGAATGAGTTTGGAGAGTGTTTCAGAATGTTCAAGAGTGCAACGCCCTTAACTGCTTTCTCATTCTACAAAGAGTGTGGTTGAACGAGAGAGACAAAGCGACAGACTGAAGCAGAGTGACTGAATGAGTTTAGTTGGTAATTCATTTTTCTTTTTTATTTCACGCCAAATGACCCTTAGAAAAATATTGGGCTTAAAAAAACTTGGGTTGTTTGCGAGAAATTATTTTCTCGCTGAACCCTTATTCAACCTCATTAAAATAGTTCTCACTGTATGTATGAATAAAACATCGCCGTATTTGCCATATTTGGGAAATACAGCAAGAGTGCCATAGTGGGACTCATTTTTTTTGCTAAAAATTTTATTTAGCGAGAAAAGTAATAATTTCCTAGCTAATATTTTGGCAAGAAGGAAAAAACACTCCCGCTAAACCTAGAGTGTGATGAAAAAAATTTCCACACTAGCATGGAGATCAAAGTGAGCTCACTTTTTGCTAGAACTCGAAAATTTTGTCGCCGAAAGGAACTCTATAGAGAGAAAGATAAGTTTCACGCTAAAATGTTTCTAGGTAAATGACCGATTTGTTGTAGTGGATAGAGACCTTAACATACGGTCTCTCATTGGAAATACGCTAAGCAAGGTGGTGTTGGGTTGAGGAAGGACTCGAAACTCGAGAACATAAACCTTAAAGACGAGACTTAGCATTATAGTGTAAGGACCTCTGACCAGAGACAGAGTTGAAACCTTAACTTAAACGAGGACTTTTCAGCATAGGACTTGATACTCAATATCTAAAATTAAAAATATAAATCTCAAAGCTACTGTTTAGATTAGATTAGAGTATCGTTCAAATAAAAAAAGGGTCAACAATATTTTAATAATTTTCAAAATTTTGTGCCTCTGGCCTATTTTCTTTAGGTTGAATCCTATTCTGTAGATACTCAATGAACACGAAAACTAGATATGCTGAAAGAGTAACGATATTGTATCACATCATCTCGGTGAGAGATATGGTCAGTAAATGTACTAGAAATAGTGTGTTGCTTTTTCTTTTATGGTTTGTGTTGCCTTCCATGAATACATGCTGTGTTGGTATAGAAATTTTTTTTTTAATTTTTTTTTATACAATGGTATATTATTCTAAGGGATGAGGAATAAATTGGTAACGAACTCGACATTCATGAGATTCAATACTAAGACGTCTTACTTACTAGTGAAGAAGAACAATTGGTTTCCTTCATCTTCCTTCCTCCATTCCTCTGCAACTCTGAGATTACATTCTCAGTGATTTCATGCTTTAAATTCAATTGGAAATCGAGCTCATAGCTTTGAAAACAGTAACAAAATCGATTACAACTCTTAAGAATCTACGTTGGATTCTTTCTCTCAATTCCGTTACAAAGAGAGCATAGTAGCGTGTGAAAATAGCCGTTACTAGGCATCACACCTCAGCAACATATGGACGACATCGTTGTGGTAAAGGTCGTAATGTCAGAGGAAGCATTACTCCAGGTCATAGAGAGGAAGGTCATAAGCATCTATACCGTAAAATTGATTTTTGATGAGAGCGGTACCAAATCGAGGTAAAATCTAAATACTAGATATGACTTCAAAATAACAAGGATTAAGTTCGGCCAATGAGACAATGGGTACATGCTTCATCGTCGAGAGAAAAACAATTCGGATCACCAGTTAAGGCCCTTAAATGACCGCTCAATGATAAAGAAGGTAAGAGTGCAGAGACTGCGAGGAGGTTTGCCTAGAAGCTAGTCACCAAAATTTTCAAAATTTGAAACCAAAATTTCTACTTTAGAGAGTGTGACCATATTTGAAATATCATATACATGATATCAAAAGGTCTTTTTATTTATTTATTTAAGTGAAGTTCTTCTTAAAGCTAAAGCCCGCAACACCCACGCATCCACATCCACATCCACTTCTATCGCTTCAGCTTCTTCCAAACCTTGGAGAAGAACAGCAATGGCAGAGAAATCTGCAGATTTGCCAGAAGAATGCTGGGAATTGATACTCAAACAGCTACTGCTAGACCTAGACCCAGACCACCCCTCTCCCTTCAATTCACTATCTCTCGTCAGCAAGCAGTTCCTCTCCTTCACCAATCGCCTTCTATCCACTCTCAAACTCAAACGCTCCGATCCAGCACTCCAATCCCTCCTCCCTCGTCTTCTCCGACGGTTTCCTCGTCTCAAACACATCGACCTCGCCAAATTCCATGGCGACATGAACCCAATTCTGCATCAAATTGCGCTATCTGGGTTGAACCTAGAATCCCTCAACGTTTCCGATCAGGCGACTTTACCTGCGGTTGGTTTAAGATCATTGGGTTCGAAATTGGAGAATTTGAAGAGTCTGAACTGCTCCAAAATCCGATGTTTTGGGGATTCTGATCTGAATTTGATTGCAGATTCTTTTCCACGCCTTGAAGAGCTTGACATCGGCTGCCCTGATGATGAATATGGTTTCTCCCCAATTGGGGTTTCAGATTCCACGCCTCTCTCGAGGCCGATATCCGATTCGGGCATCTTATCACTGTCAGAGAAGCTCAAGAGCCTGAGAAAGATCCACCTCTCTGGTAATAGCTTCATCACTGATAAATCGCTTGTGTTCTTGTCCACCAACTGTTTGTGTTTATGCCAAATTGTGTTGAACTTTTGTCACTTCATAACACTGAATGGCATATCTAAGCTACTCTGTGACTGTCGCCAATTGAATTATATTTCGGCTAGTAGAACTGGGAACCTTTCCTTTGATGTACCACCTCAAGTACCATTCATAAGCTCGAAAGCTTTGTTGGCTATTGATCTTTCGGGTTGGATGATTTCGGATGAATTTCTGGATGCGGTTGCAGAAGCACATTTGCCTTTAAAGCAGCTCATTCTTTCTGGATGTACAAACTACAGTTTTGCTGGAATTCGGGTTTTGTTGAGTGAGTACCAGTCCCTTGTAGTACTTAGATCTTGAGTCGGCACATTTTCTCAGAGACAAGGACATGGCCGAGCTATCCCTGTTCCTCCATAGTATCAGATATATTAACCTTAATTACTGCAGTAAGGTGACCGATATCACCTTCTATATCCTCATAGCAAGCTGTCTGGTTTTGGATACAATGGAAATGGCAGGAACAGGTATTGGGGACGGAGACATTGAGACGGATTGTAAGGCAAACAATCAAATGAAATCGCTGAACTTGGCTCAAAATAGCTCAATAGACGATGCCTTTTTGACAAGTTTCGCTTCTATTTTCCCCAATTTGGAAGTGCTTGATTTGAGCGGCTGTAAAGGAGTATCAGAAGAAGGCATTGTAGAAGTACTAAAGAGATGCTCTGAGATTAGGGAATTGAAGATAGATGGTAGAGTGAGGAAGAATCTTTGTTTACTCCTTGAGTTTCAACTTCCGAAGTTGACGGTATTGAAATGGATGCGTTCGGGAATCGATGATGAGGCACTGGCTATGATTGGGAAAAGATGTCCCAGCCTACAGAAATTGAACTTGATGGGCAGCGGGAGTTTGACATCAGAAGGGGTGAAGGGAGTGGTGAAGAACTGCAAAGGGCTGAGGGAGATAAATTTGAGGTCTTGTAATAATGTCAGTGCTGATATTGTTTCGTGGATGGTTTTCTCTTCGTCGCTGAAGAAAATAGTTCCGCCTCCTGGTTATGTTCATACCGAAACCCAAAGGAACTTTTTCTTGCTTCATGGGTGCCTTGTTTGTGAGTGAGGCAAACGAACCACACATGATTTATGGTACCTCTGCAAAGAAGGGTGAAAAGATTGTATTTGTACCTTTTAAGAGTAAAGATGTGTGAAAGGATTGTATTTGTGCAAGTTTAGAGTCTGTTTTACGGACGGTTTTCGCTTTGGAACTATAATATTCAACCAATTTGCATCCAAACCAATCGAGATGAATTCAGATCTTTCAATATGCTTAATATAGTGAAACTTGATACATTTATCCCCTAATTTGTAATCCAATTACAAAAATTCCATCCTGTCGGCAAAAAAAGAAACGACCAGAAATCGAATGCAGAGTGAAGTCCGAAACTTGAAGAGAAATAGCAAACAAAAACGAAACGTAGAGATAGAAAATAGAACTGAAACTAGCACGGGCCTTCAATTTCGCTTTTCTTCCCTGCAAAACTGGAAGAAGTAATGGTTGACCGGGCACGAACCAAAATGCTGAAGAAACGGAGAAACAGTGCCGACTGGTCTAATTCTTGTTATTTTCCTTGTACCGGAGACCAAGTTTAGAAAGAAACTCTGGCTTGTCCCGGAGACCAAGTTTAGAGAGCACAAGGCAGTAAGAATCCCAGTCAGTTCTTCGAAGATACTTCAATAACCTCTTCCTCTGCTGCACCATCGCTTGAAGACCCTTCAGAGAATGCTTGTCCTACATAAAACAAATATGCAAAGATTTTACATCGAGTAATAAAACAACTTGGCACACATTCGGTATCCTAAAATCCAACACCAGCATATGGTTTTTTACTTTTTTGGTCACAAGGAAAACCCTGACGCCTCATTCCTTTATTGGGTACAAGGCACTAATACATATCTCACAACCCATATCTATCGACAGTAGTTTTTGCTCCAGTGAGGTTTAAAGGGAGTAAGGCTAACAATAACTACGATAACAGCTATAAGAGTAATGGAGGGTGGCAAGTATGTACCAGACATGTATGTTGGTGTCTGAGCGTTAGATATGTATTTAAAAATGTCTAGTACACACCTCTGTATTTACAAGAGTACGGAATTTGGTAAACAGAATCACGAGAAACTTATGAGTGTAAATCCAAACACACCAGCACCTAGAAAGTTGCACACTAGTGTCAACATCTGTTTTCAAGGTCATCTTTCAGAGTAAAAGCTAGGAATAGATACATTGCGTTGATCCACCCAACATGCCGATCATTAACTTTATCTCTAATTACTTTGGACTATTAAAACTTCACAAATTATCTCAAACCCAAGTCAAAGTTGTAGCATGTAAATTGTGCACTAGAAACAGAAAAGAGTCAATTTGCCTCAATTATTAGCATGACGATAAATTTATGAAATATAAACGTGAAAGCATAAAACAGAAGATTATTGGTTCCATAGTGACCTTTTTATGTAAAACTGAAGATAGATGCTTGATCTTTGTTGTCAATTGTGCCACTGCAGAGCAACCAAGAAGACAAAACATTAGTTAACCTTCAAATCAAGTGTCAGAAGGGGTAAACATGCTATGTACGTACTAATTTCAGCACAGTTAGACCCTTTATTTTTCCCCAGCAAAAGGGGTGTGGGGTTGAAGATTTTTTCTCTTCAAATCAGTTCTTGGTCATCAACCATTTTAACAGCTAAAATAATAAATCTCGGTTTCAACTTGTTCCTTTTCTCCCCTTCTTTGATAAGCAAGACAACTTTTTTTCACATAAAAGTGTCTACTGTTTCTGTCTCTTCGTATACACACGGAGCTGTCCGCCAAAGGAAACCTTTCACTGAGCCAGATATATTTAACTGAACCACATAGAAGTAGAGGAAAGTAGATGACAACTCTGAAGCTGAGTAGAGCAGAAAGTGGTGAACTGATTCCTAGCATTTTTTCAGCTACAAGGTATTTACCCAAAATGACATCTTGAAATTTTCAAAGGTGAGGACTCTACCCCACACCAAAGACCAAGCAAAGAACCACTCTGGCAGTATTCAAGCTCAACAAATGGCCCTCGACGAAGAGTATGCATGACAACCAATGTTATTTTTGTAGAATATACGAACTTAAAACACCCTTATTGAACCCGACAGACCATCTAAGTACATCTCCAAAACTCTTGAACCTTCGCTACATGTAAATCCAAAAACATAAAACATTTCTTCCTATTTGTCTGTTTAATTACTTTAGTTAGCTCCAGGGGGTGGTGGTGGGCGGCAGGGCAAGCTCTCCCAATGCTGGCTTCTCCATTCACAAGGCTCGAACTCAAGACCTTGCTTAAGGGGAACAAGCTCCTTACCACTTGAACCACCAAGCATTGGTAAAGAATAGATATTATAAGAACAACAGTGCCTTATATAGAAAGAAAACTTTCAAAAGATAACAAAAATGTTATGGATGAAAGGAGATTGAAAGATTGTTTGCAAGTAAATTGAAAAACCCAAAAGAAAAAAGGAATTAAATTTCTGGACAATTCAAAAATTAGCTTGAATGTATGTGCCAATGATAAAGATAGAACACTTGGCATGATGGACAAGAAAATCAGAAAAATTATTCTGCAAATAAAAGGTGTAATAGAACACTTGGCATGATGGACAAGAAAATCAGAAAAATTATTCTGCAAATAAAAGGTGTAATGAACCCAAAACTAAAACCGATACCTTGAACTCGAGCAGAACCACAATCTGACTCTGACATTTTAAACTCATCTCTAACTTTGGCAAGCTCAAGTTTCAGTTTTTCTGCAGAAGACATGTTATCTGGATGGAAATACTGCATAAACATTTTATTAATATATTAGGCACCAAACTATTGATCAAAATTAACAAAATTTTGCAATGTAGAATTATTTCGTGTGAGAATCATGACAATTCAAGCATCTATTAAGTGAAACCCATAAATTTTCTGAGCTTTCAAACAGATAGCATACAACATGAACCAAATAAGACCTCAAGTGATAACACAGTCGTGCATACTATATGTTGTTATGAAGGCTGATTAATATTGAGGACAACATCATAGCACATGGTAGAGTAAGGACAATTGAGTATTTGAATTACGTGAATCTAGTGCAAATTCTTAACTGACGTGTAAAGTTAACAGAAAAGCTATACTTGCCTTTTCAACCAAATTTTCCTTTGGAGGTTGCAGCATAAAGTTAGGAGTTCGACCTATATGTGACAAGACATCAATTCTCTGGACTGCTGCAACAACAGAATCAATCAGTAAATTGCAAGATACGCATCAAATAAAATCAATCGAGCAACACAATTTGAAACTTTTGTTGTAGCTTTAGCTGTAAATTAAAATTTTAAAACATACAAACCAACAAACTGAAATTTGTTAATTCATTTTTCTACTTTACATTGTGATAATCCAACACTTCTATTTGGAAAGAAAACAGAAGACAGAACTTGAGCCAATTCCTGTACCTAGTCCTCGTTTTCAAATTTTAATCAAACCAGGAAGGAAAGCAAATTAGTTTCAGTTGGGGAAGATCACTATATTTGAAGCACATTTAACTTACTCCAAACATGGAAAAATTTCACGCGTAGTATGAAAGCAAACTTAAACCTATGAATTCTGTAAACAAACAAAAAACATAGTACGCAAACAACACAATACTACAAAATTCAAGTTTATCCCAAATTGTCAGAAACAGAGTACCAGACTAGACTCTACCTTGTCATTAAGCCTGGAGCCATTACAGTCATAACAAACTTTGGAACTAAATCCAAATATAATTTAAAAGGTTCTTATTCAAGAATTAGTGATACGGAATTGTGGCTCCTATGTAGCAAGAAGCACAAAAGTTTTTCCAGAAAATGGCTTGTTGAGCAGGAATCTGTTCAATTTCATCCCATTCCATCAGTACAACATCTCAGCAAACAGACTGCTTAATTCAAGAAGTGAACTTTTCAAATAACACAAGACAATAAAGAAATCCAGCACAAAACTACTCACTTACTCGATGATTTCTTTGCCTTTTCCTGGTCCGACATCTGCAACTTCACCAAGCTTTCCCTTAAATCCCGGAATGTAAGGTTGCCAATGGCGGCCTGAGTCTCCTTCTCTTCCATCTCCCTCAACTTCATCAGCCTCTCATTTAACTCCTCCAATGAAAACCAGTTTTGCCCCTTCTCGTCCGGCCTCAACTTCCTCAACTTCTCCCCCAACTCTGCATAACTGTACATCTTCACGAAATTCGTCTTCATTTCATTCGAGCCATTTTCTGCATTTTTCTCCTCTCGTAACTCCTTACCAAAAATCGACGACGGCAAAGGAGTGCCAGTCCCACCGATCACATTCGGCTGGTTCGGCTCCAGGCGCAAACTCTCTGTATACCGCGACAATGACAAAGGGTCTTTCTATCATTTTGCACACTGGGATTCTTTATCTTCCTCAAACTCTCTCGAATCGTATCGAAAGAGAGCTTCCGGTCACTATTGGCATTGCCGCCCTCGGCCTTGCCAAGCACATTTCTCTTGTAGAGCTCTTGAAAAGAGATTTGCTGTGGGAAACCTGGAGCCGTAGAAGAATGTTGCGAAGCTGCAGGGCCTGATTCGGTGGGGTCCGGCACGGAGGTTCGGCGCCGGTACTCGGAGAGGTTTTTGCGGATTTCTTCCAAGGAAGCAACTTTGGAGGTCCTGGAGGGAGAAGGGTTTGGATACGAGGGGTTTTGAGGAGTGGGTCTTCTCTGTTCCGGCGGCGGCTGCGGTTGTTGCTGCTGTTGATGTTGCCTGAGGCTGGCTTTGACGTCGCTGAAATAGGAAGACAGAGAGGAAGAGTGAGATTGGGGATTTGCGTCGGTGGGTTCCTTCGGGTCAGATGGGTCCTTTGGGTCAGATGGGTCGGAGGAGGAGGAGGATTTGGTGCAGAATAGGTGGGTGAGAGATGGTTTCGTGAGGTTTCGGTGCCTGGATCTCAGTTGGAGAGCCATTGTTAGCCGAAATGGATGATTGCCTAGGTTTTGGAATTTGAGGAAGACGAAGATGGAGACGAAGAAAACTACTGGGTTTAGAAGGGTACTTGGGTTTTAGGGACCGGTTTTTTGTCGAGGTCGGACCGGGTTTGGCTATGCGGCAGTTTTGGGACTTCCAAAACCATGTGTCATTAACTCAAATTTGAAGGACCAATTACAATCATTTACTTAATACGATGATTATCTAACGGTTATATATGATATTTTATCTATTTGGCCGTAAATCTGACCGTTAAATAATAAATGTATAAAAGTAAATACAAGCATCTTAGTTCAATATCAATTTTTAATGCGTCAAATGTTGATTATGTAGCGGTGATTTTCAGATTGATTGGATCGAAAACAACGTTTACTCTCATTTCAAAATTTTAGAGTCAAATCGGATCATTTTTTCAACTTCAAAATTTTTAAGAATATTTGAAATCTAAATAATCTTTAATGGTGTCTCGGATATCACTCGAAAGGATGCGTAGAGTTTCGATGGTCATGCCTGTTCGGGTGTTTGCAACACTATCTCTTTCATTGTCTATCTTTTTTGGTAGTGCTGTTTGTGGTATATCCACGAACTTCTTTCAATTTCTGATAGAGATTGGCGGCGTTCGTGTCTAGATGATGGGATTTTCCTTCATTTAATATCTGCGGTGCTGCTTGGTAGGATTTTTGGCTTTTGCTGGGGAAATCGAAGCGGTTTGATTGGGAAATACTATTGCAATGGTGGTAGAAGGGTTTTAGAATTTTCTTTTGTTTTGTATCTGGCTTTGGGCCCTTGGTTGGGCTTTTTATGTTAGCTTGGGTGGCCTCTGTTTGTTTTGTTTACAGGTGTATTTGGGCCTTTGGTTTGTAAATTAATTTTGGAATAAAATTTTGTCCCTTTTACGGAAAGGATTTACTTTAAAAAAAAAAAAAAACTCAACAATTAAAATATAAAAGTACCTACTTAGTATTACAGTATAGTGTTATTCTTTTTTGCTTAAAAATGAGAGGTCTTATATTCGAATTTCATTGATAACAAGTTCAATACCAAATTAGATTGTTTAATATGTGACTTAGTCAAACTCTCTTTCCAATATCTATGTACTCAAAAAACATAAAAAATATATATATAAAGAGTGCCAACATCCGAAGCGAAACGTGCCGCATCACTAACTGACAGACGTCACTGTCTTCTACATCTGCCCCATTTCTTCGTCCTCACTCACCTCCAGTCCCAAGCGCGTCTACCCACACCGCAGCCCTCAACCAATCTACAACTACAAACCCTATCAAATGAGCTAGTATGTACCATTAGCAAATACGAAGAAAAAAAAAAAAAAAGGCCACGCGAGGTTGGTCCAGCACTGCCATTTGTTCCCACTGCCATGGCCCACCATCAAAATTGAGAAAAAGATCGACAGATAAAAAAAAAGAAAAAAATGGGAAAAGTCCACACAAAGAGGGAGAAGTGGAAGAGTTGTGACTTGTGAGTTTGTTGTTGATGAGAAACACAAGAAAAGAAAGTCGACAAAGCTTTCAATTATATTTATATTCTTTCCTTCTTTTCTTCTTTCTGTACAAAGACAAACCCACATAAATTTAAAAAGATTCTTTCTCCCCTTTTCTCTCTCGCCACCCTCTTCTTCTTCGTCCTCTCCCTCTTTTCAAAAACCAGGAGAAGCAAAAAACCGTCACTGAATACACTATGACTTCCCCCGATGACAGTGACGGCGGCTGGGTCAAGCTCGCCATGAACGACGAGGCGGCGGTCGTCGACCTTCTTCTCCGCCTCAAGCACTCCGCCCCGCCTCCGCCGTCGAAGCGCAGTACTATTCACGGCTTTCCGACTTTGCGGTGGTGCGTAAGGCAGCGCCGCTCCAGGAACGTGCCACGTCGCCACCATGCCGACGACGTCGATGCTGAGGACAGAAAGAGCAAGAAGGGTGAGTCGAGCGGCGCCGGGGCCAGCCCCACCACGCCACTTTCCTGGAGCGGTGCCACTTCGGCTGGCGGCGTCGACGGCTCCGAAGAGTCCAGCAAGCTGCTTAAGCCGACCGATGCCGCGAGATCTAAGGTCTGTATATGTCTCTGTCACCGTCACTCATTAGGGTCGGCCCGGGGTTTGGTTCGGTGGCTTTTTTTCTACTTTTTTATCTTAATTTTTGGATTATCTAATTGACGAAACTACCCCTTAGAACCTAGGGTATTTACACGGTAGTGGAACCCGTCAGTCTCTTTCTATTTCCGCAGTCTGTTTGTGGAGGGGGCTTCCAACCGGTCGTTGTCCTTTTGACTATTATGCCCCTACGTTGCATTTGCTTGTGGATGCATCTTTGCTGCCGGGGCAAATTCGGTCAGCACACCGTACCGGTTTCTCTGCTCGCCGGTCGTTTGGACTCGGCGCTGTCGTTTTACCATTGTCAACGTCTTCCGTTATTTTCTAGGGTTTTAGGTTTTTCAGAGGGCGCGATGACACTTCGACTATTCTTTTCCGCTCCTGTCACGCTTGTTCCCCTGGAAACCCCAAAATACCCTTCTATCAGTGGCATTTTCGTCATTGGACAACGTCTCAGCCAACCCATAAACTGTCCAACCCTCGTCTGTCGGAGTGACGAAATGACGTAATTCTGTCCGCGAAAGTCAAACCGTACTTGAAACTTGGAGGGCAATTGGGGAATATAGAAACATGGCGACCTGCTTTATCGGTGGCGTGTCTTAGTGGCAAAATAGGCCTGCGTGTTGTGTGGTTTGGTGTGGTGCTGGTAGTGGTTGTGCGGTGAGGGGGAAATCATTGGGTGCGGTCGGGCGCAGTTTGGCGTTTCCTGCAGACGCATGGTAACGACCAAATCGAATCAGCGCCCTGCGACGTCGTTTATTCCATATGGAGCATTAAAACAAGATAGAAATAGGGTATGATATTCACACATTCCGTTTTACTTTTCATATTCTTCTAATTTTCAGTCGTATTAAAAAAAATTAACGAATAAAAATTAAAAAGAGATGTAAAAAGGAAATTGGGCTGTGTGAAGGCTCCACACATCCCTAGAAGTATTGTTACCAATGGGTACACAGTCCCTTTTATGGAAGGACGAGGTCAAGCTTGGATCCAATGGAAACTCAGTCAAATGGGAAAACTTTTTGATCGGACTGTCTGTCACGAGATCGTAAGTGACAGCCTGGCATGTTAGCCTTTTTATGCTTTGGTGGGTCCCAAAGGAAGATATAAAAAAGTGGCTCTTTGGGTTATAAGCTGAATTTGTTGTTGCTTGGTGCCCTTTAGGGTTTTCTCTGAGGTTTATTTTTTTTTTTTTTTTAGGTTGAATGATTGCATTAGGCACATTTTTGGTCGAAAACTGAGACGCGAATTGCTCCAAGAAATTAACAAAAGAGTATGGGAAGTTTGCATAATGTGTGGGTTGCTCATTTGAAGTTGTCACCGTATGTACATAAGTGAAATCCACATTGATATTGTTATGGGAAATTCGTTGGAGAACCCTTTAAAAGTGTTTTTTGGTCTCGGAGCGGTGAGAATTTGAATACGTGGATTTATTGTTACATGGACTTTGCAGTGGTTTCGATCACTCCGTTTGACATGTGGACTTTGTTATGTTTTTTTTCTTCACTTGTAAGCTGTTTGCGGCCTTTTCTATATCTGCCGAGCCGGCTAGCTCTGATATGTATTTTTTTTTTTCAGTTCAACTTGCTAGTAGTGTTTTGTTTGACTAATTTATTGGGTTGTGTTATGTTCGGTGTGTGCAGGTTGCTGTTAGAAATGAATCAACCATCTTCAAGAGGCCAAGAAAGAAGAAGGTAAATATACCGTTATGTATTTGCACTAGTACGATATTCGTGGAAAGTTTACGACCTATTTGGCTTGAACGAAAGAAATTCCAATTAAGTTTATGTATTTTGGCTAATTGAAGTCTTAGCTCAAAGGCTCAAACCACAAAAAGTTCCAACTCTTAATGGTAATAAGTATCCGAAAGTCATGAGTAAGATATCTTTACTGAGCAGATCATACTAAAACCTCTGAACGAGTGACCTTGACGGGGCTTAAACTTGGGATCTCTTTCATTTGCAGCGTAAATATCCTCGGAATAACTTACTGGTTGCATTTCAGTAGTTTCTCCTCCCCTGTTCTTTCTTTGGTTTGTTTGTGGTGGTGTGCTGAATATTGTTGGATTCATATGTCATAGCGTGGTGATAAAATCTTGTGGCTGCATGCAGACTTTAGCTGAATTAAAAGAGGAGGAGAGTCTTCTGTTGAAGGAAAGAAGAAATTTGGAAAATGTACGTCTTAAAGATACTACACTATATGTCCCAATATGTCTTCGTGGAGATACCTGGATATTGATTTCTTTAATTTATTCTCTGAGCAGGAATTGGCAACTCTACGCCTCGTTGTTGAGAAGCAGAGGGCCACAAATGAAAGCTTGAAAAAAGTGAAGGTGAATGCGCTGTTACTACTCTCTGTAGGCTCTAAATATGTATGCATTTATGATATACATAAAACTTACAGTCTGAAAAGTCTTAACGGAGTGACTATTGTGTGGAAATATACGCGGCTGTTGTGCAATAGTCTTACCTCATAGGATTACAATAAATTTCACTAATAGGATTTTTTATGCGTAATTTGCCTGTTTCTCTCCTTACTATGTACTGTTTAACATGATTATTTAGCCTTTAGTCATTTCAGAGGAGTGGTTGACACCTGCATTTTGCGGTCTCTTTTGTGTCGTTAAGATGCAGATGTTGAAAGTTGTAGACTTTTCGTTTCATCATCTTAGAGTTGCTATCCTGGTAAAACATTTCCCATCCCATTGCACTTAAGTAGGAAGTCCACCTCTGTCAGAATATGTATATGGACATTATGTGTATATTATGCATCAGTGACCAGCTTGCTCATGAATCATGATGCAGAGCTTCATCTTTTCTTGAGGGTTGAGTTTTTTTATGCGTGGATAATGCAAAATATGGTCTTCCGGGTTTGTAGTTTCCTCCAATAAGGATGCTTCTTCCATTGAACTACTTGTTTCGTAGCTTATAGAATAAAATAGAAAAAGAAA